AAAACAGGGGGGAGAATAAAAGCCCCCATGGGGGGGGCCAGCCGCATCCCCCCAGCACAGAGGGGTCCTGGCACCCTGGTTCGGGGAGCACGGCTGGGATCTGAGCCTGCCCCGCCAGCCGTGACAGCACGGGGACACACACCAGGCAATCCACTCTGCTCCAAAGAGGTCTTATGAAGCCCAGTGCTCTTTTGGATGGTGAGACTCATCAGAGCATGACCCCAGCTCTGGAAATCCCCCCTCTAAGGCTACAGGGACCTTCTGGTGGAACTCATTTTTGGCATTATTTGAGTGCTAGACACAAACTCTTTGCCCAGCAACCAGCAGAAACCACCATTATCCTCATGCCTGCAGGGCCAAGGCATTTGGTAGATCGGGAAAGGGCAGCTCACTTTGGACACCTCCTTACTGGGAACCACAGGAACGGGGGAGAGCTGCCCCTCTGTGCCGCTGGCCCGCTGTCACGGGCCATGCTGGGACATCCAGACCCCACTCAGCACCCCACTGAAGCAGAGCGTGGCTCCAGCCAAGCCATGGGAGCTCACCAGCAAAGCCACCACGCACCTTCTGCCTTGGTTTCTTCAGTCTCCTCCTCTGCCTCCTCTACCTGATCTTCCTGACCTGTGGAATAATGAGCAGCGTGAGCCCGATGGCCACCGCTCCCCCTGGCTCCCTACGGACCCCAGCATCAGGACAACTGTGGCACAGAGATGACCGAGAGAGAGACCCGGGGCAGATGGAGCTGCAGGAGAAAGCAGCAGCGGCTCAGAAAGCAAAGGGCTTTGCTCTAACCTTTACCCAAGGGCTGCTCTCTGTCCTTGGGCAGGGAAAAAACCCACAATTAAAAGTTTTATAGTCACCTCCTGGTTTGTCCCTTATTCTCTCTCATGCTATCATGCTCTTATAAGCCCGGATAGGGGGGAGTGATTTCTATTGCTCTCCTCTAGCCAGCGAAGAGCAAGACTGGCTGGCATTAGAGAACGTGCCTTCAGCACCTTCACAACCTTATTTATGCCACTGTTGGAGCATTTTTCCACTGGAGGGAGCAGTATCCCCACAAGAGCCCTCCTCCACTGGAGTCAGAGAGATGCTGGGGCCCACAGGTCCTGGGAAGACTTGTGGTCCCAAAGCAAGAGAGAAGGAAAGAAAAAGAAGATAGCAAACCACGAATGCATTTGGTTGATAGATGTAAGAGAGGAGCCACAGGCATCGGAGCAGATACGCACAGCAGAGCAGGGCAGGCGGGGAGGTGCAAGAAGCAAGAGAGAGAAGTGGAAGAATGAAAGAAAACCATTTCCCAACCAGGGAGAGGCAAAAGACACACCGACCCGCGACATAGTCACAGCAGCAGTGGAGAGATGAAATAAAGAAAGGTGCAATAACTACCGTCTTCTTCCTCTATCCATTCTTCCTCTTCTGAGCCAGGGAGAAGGGGAAGGAATAAGCGCAGAGGTTAGTTGGGCGCCATAAAGCTGCGGAGTGTAGCCATGGCTTGCGTGGGATGCGGACTCCGGCACCACAGTGGTTTCCCCCTTGTGCCTCTCTGTTTTTAAGGTTTGGGATGTTCTGCCATGCAGCAGCCCAGGCTGCCTGGCAGTGCCCTGAAGCAGCAAAAGGCTCAGCAAAGCCCAGCTCCCAAACCCAGCCCCAAATGCAGAGCCCTGCTGTGCCCCAGAGAGGCTGCGTGCACCATGGGGTTTGCTTCTTCATCAGACTGAGAAGGTGGAGGTGTGTGCTTGAGCATCATGAACACACATTCAGCTGAGGCTCCAGCTCCCCTTGAGTGACTGGGCTCATGCCTCTGCGAACGCACCAGTCCAGCATTTCCACCCCTGTTTTGAGCCAAGGGATCACTCTGACAAAAGAGATCCTGAGAAAATTCAGGCTGGTTTTGATCCTATGGATGTTTCAGGTGGAGAAATCTAGAACATGGCCTCATCTGCCTTTCCTGGTCATGATTTGCCCATCGCAGTCAAGGAGTTTACCACCACCACCCCCCACCCCAAGATAAACACTGAACCACTTGTCTCTCGGTCCTCGCAATCGCCAGTGAAGCACGTACCTTCTTCCACGTACTCCTCTTCACAGAGCCCACATGCGCACGGGAGGGAGGGAAGGGAAAGAAGACGCAGGTTATTGAAGTTGCTCTGATCATTCCTTAGCTTCAGCCTTGGGGCAGCTGCAGATGCTCCACGTCCTCTTACCTTCCTGCTCCCTGCAAGGCACGACACAGATTTGCCGCGTTACAGCGATCTGCTGCAACGGGGCGCGTGTGTCCATCAGCGGGGCCAGGGGGGAATTTGAAATTTCCTCCAGGCTGGCTCCCCGTTTTTTGTAGCCGTGGGTGATGAGCACTGGGCTGGCTGCTGTGTGCCATGCCATAAGGTGGCCATGGGGATGGGGCAAGAGCGAGATCAGCCTGCAGGCTGCAGACAGCAGGAGCTGAAGTGCTCAGCTGACACTTCGACAGAGCACAACAGCATTTTGCAGCTTGAGAAGATGGAGTTACCGTGGCCTCTAATCCTAGAAACGGGCATCTCACATCCCGCCTTTGCCCCGAAGTCCTTTCCTGACCCTGGGGGAGATGCAATCGGGTCACTGGGCACGGGGGACACCGGGCAGAGGGGTCAGACTGATTGCCCAGGCATGCAAGCCTGTCATGGTATTTAACCATAAGAGAAGGATTCAGATCTGCTTTTTTCTGCTGGTGGATGAGGTGTAGGAGCTGCGTTCGGAGTGGTCCCCATAGCCACATATCGCAGATGTCGAGCCCCTTCTCTCCAGGGTGCGCCTCATGGCCCAGCAGCCCCCACCAGCAAAAGTTGCCCTCAAACTTGGGCCTCAGGGAGTGATGCTCTGGATGTGGCAGCAGGACCCCAGCAGCCACCGACTGAGGCCATCGGCTTTTCCCAGCTCTACCTTGCCGATTTAGACTGCGGCGTTTTTAATGCAGGGGCCGTCCCTTGCCATGTACGTGCTGACCCAGCTCCTGGTGCGAAATTCCCCACCACTGGGGGGTCTCGGCACCATCACAGCAGTGGTGCAGATGGGAGCGGGGTGGGGGGATTTCATGCTGGGTGCTGGGGTCATGACGAGAGCTGGTGCCCCCCGAAGGGCACCTCTAAGCCATACTGCGGCCCTGGGGGAGAGTGGGAATAGGGAGAAAGAAAGGGAGCTTAAAAACACGCCACTTACTGCTCATATTCTTCGATGACCTCTTCAGAGTCCGACATGCCTGGTTATCTAGCAGAATTCAAGGCAGATTGGGAAAAGTGAGGGTTAGGAGCTGAGATAAGGACAAGCACAGCCTGTCCTCCAGCGCCTGCGACACGGGCACGGAGATGCTGCATCCTTCCAAAGCGCTTGGAGCTTCGAGTGGTCCCCAACCGGGCTGTGCCAGCATTATCTGGGCAGAGATAAGGCCCCCCCCTTCCCTCCTGTCCCAGGATCACAGCTCGCCCCAAAGAGGAGGCAGGAGATTAGACACAGCCTCATGCAACACCGATAAGTGCTGTCAGGAGCCGTGCCCAGGACACGCCGCCCCCCTCGCCGCAGCCGTCTCAGGGTGCTGCCTTTGCTCAGGGCACAGAATAATAACTCAATTATAACGCTCAGCTTGTTTGGCTTCCTGACTATTCTTAGCCCAAGTTGGGATATAGAAACCTGCAGGGACGTCCCGTTATCTCAGATTTACAGCCCTGCACAAGGCACAGCCTGAGACCCCAGTGAGCCCTCCCAGCCCTCCGGGTGCAGGGCATGCTCTGGGAAGGGCGGCCGAGGCTCAGCAGGAGCTTTTTCTCTCCTGCTCCTGGCCCTGGGACTGAGCTTAGCTAAAAGGAATAATTTGCAGCCTCGTTTAGCAATAGAGTTAATAACTCTGCAAGAACCAGCCGCTCTCATCTTCCCAGCACACCCCTCTGCTTCCCAGCCGTGGTCAGGACTTTACTCATCGTCCCACCTCTTCTTGCTTCCACCCAGTGCTCTGCTGCAAGGTCTGCACAGACCAGCCCTGAGATGAGCCCCAGCCCTGGGCATCCCGGAGAAGCCCTGAGCATCAGCCCAAGCCTGTCCACTGCTCGCGTTCGCGCCGGACCTCGGCAAAGCTGAGATGCGGCAGGGCAAGGCAGGGCAGCTCTAGAAATAACTTCCATGTCCTAAACCCCCTGCTCCCAGAGCAGCGCCGCTTCACTTCTCCTCCTGCTGGGTGTCGGGGAACAACTGGTCCTGGCTACAGCTGTGGAGCATTTATTACCCAGGATGAGGCTTCAGGATCGCTTATTCAAGATGCTGAATCCGGGACTGGAATCCACAAGCATGGGAAAGACGCATTAGAGGAGGGGTGCCTCTGCATGCCCGTGGTTCCCGGGGGGGTTGTCAAATCTCACTTCTGAGCAGTGACTCAGAAGGTGCTTTTTGGAGACAAATGAAGTCAGAACTCAGCCCTGTACACCTCGGGTTCACCACCTGCTTCTGCCGCTGTCGTTCCCTTCCCTCTGATGCATCAAGGGCTTGGCCCCAAGCATCCCCTCCAGCACCAGCCCCTCAATCTCCACTCTCCCTCCAACATCAGTTCCTGGCCCTGCTTTCCCCCCAGGCTCGGCATGGTCCTGCTACCCTCAGAGTTTGGCCAAATCATTTATGTGGCCTCTGAGTACTGAAGGCTTCATGCAGTCCTCTCACAACACAAGAGCAGAGGCTCCCTCCTGGTCATGACAGCGCAAACGTGTGTTTGTGAAAGCTTATTTCTACCTTTCCCTTCACCTCCTCTCTCATACATCACCGGATCCCACAGAGCATGAGGAACAGCAACAAAACCAGGGCTGTTAAGGGGGGGCACAAGAAGAACTAACGTCACACCAGAAAGTGGCTCTAGGAAATATTTATCCAACCTCTTCACAGAAACAGATTAAACCTTTCCATTAAAGCTTTGAAATCTTGTTTCGAAAGAATTAGGAGAACCCAGCAGATGTGTTAAAGAGGAAACATTGCACATATTATTGACTAAAAAACCACCTCCCATCATTTGCTGTGGATTAAATATTCCAGATATCCCTCCCTCTCCTTAAAATCCTCCTCTCCATCAGCTCAGGGCTGGCTGGTCGCACCTCTGGGGCTGAGTTAATCCTCCACGGTTCGCAGTCCCTGCTCTCCTCCAGTCTACCCAGACGTGGAGCTCTCGTTCCCCAGCATTTGCTCCAGCATGGGTCACATCGCTGCCCCCTCCCCACTTGGCAGGGTCAGACCATGCATGGGAGCATCCCACCTCTAACCCACCCCATGGACCACCAGCCTGGCCTGATGCCCCCACGGGCATCGCATCCCTCCTGTCCCCTCTGGAGACACAGGGAATAGGGATCTATGAGATTCCCCCAGCCCCAGGGCAGCCAAAATCCTTCTTGGACACCTTGGCACACATCGGGGTGGTTCAAAAGGTGTTGGGCAAGTTGCAAACACAACCCCCTGGAGAGGCTCCTGACACTTTATCCATGGGAATGCATTCATGGCAAAAATACCTCCCGGTGCAAGCGGCTGGGGAGGACCGTTAATCCTGAGCCAAACCCCTTCTGGGTCGTTAGCAAGTGCCCTTCCATGGCGCATCCTACGCCACGAGTGGGCACCCCACTGCCCCAGCCTTACCTCTGCCGCGGGGCACCAGTGAGATCCCAGGGAGCTGAGGGGAAGCCGGTGGGTGTCTGGGAAATGCTCTTTGGGGGCAGGAGGCTTTAAGGGGGCTCCAGCGCCCACCCCGGGGCGGGCAGCGCCGCAAGGAATGTGCCCGGCGCCCAGCGAGGAATGCAACACTTGTGAGCTGCTATTTCTGCAGCCATGGCCCCGGCCCCCTCCGCCGCTCCCCCTTCCCCCCCAGGAGCCCATATAAGCCCAAGCTATTGTGTGGCCTCAGAGATTTGCTATTTTAAACCCTCCGGACTGAGATACGCAAGTGCCCAAGGGGCTGACACAAGCCAGCCAGCTGTCACTTTTCAGGGCTGGGGACACTGATAAGGCAACGCTGCCACGAGCGGAGGACCGGACCCTCCATCGCAGCCCCTGGCCCGGGCTCGCTCAAACGCTGCACTGGGTCCAAGATGCTCTAATGGGAAGGGGAGAGTCTCAGGCTGCTTTCACCCCTGCAGAACACATTTGCCTCAGGTTTTTGCCTTTCTTCCTCTTGGCAGAAGAAGGGAAGCGAACTGTTCCCAGTCCCAGCCCTGGAGCACGGAGCATCTTAGAAAGAGCAACATTTATTAGAAAAAAAAAAAAAACAAAAGCCGCAGAGAAAACCAAGTCCTTTCCAAAGCCCAACAAGCAAGATCAGATCCAGGGGCAGCAGTAGAGTCCCACACCAAATTTGGACACCGCAATAGCTGCTCGAGGCACAGCCCTAGCCTGTTGAATGGCCCTGGCACAAGGATCTGAGCATCTTTTTATGAGCAGCCCATGGCAGCCTAAAGCCATCCTCGAGAGAGCACCCCGCTTCCCTGCCGGGTGGGCTCAGCAGCCTGAGGAGCACAGGACCAGAGGTCGGCGTAGCCATGGGCAAAGGGCTCAGGATGAAGGGCGAGAGGGAAATGGGGTCTGCAGAAGGGGCCCAGCACAGGGCGCTCAGCTCCATGCCACCCCAAAACCAAGGCCGAGGCCAGCCCAACCTTGCCCTATCACTAAGTGAAAGGGGTCGCTACTTGTAGGGGGCAGGGGATGGTGAGGGCAGGGTGGAGAAGGCCAAGCCTCTGGCTCTGGCTCTGCTGCATGCTGGAGGGAAGCACCAGGGCCATCAGGTCCATCCTTTGTCCATGAGGCATCTCCAAGCTACGCCGGTGCACGTGCAACTTTGCAAACACTGTTTGCCTTTGGTTGGGTCCCTCCAGCAGTGACAGCCCTGGGGGGCGGGAGGGTGACCGCTGCCTGCCCCACCTCACCCCGCATGAGCCAGGCAGCAGGGATGGACATGGTTCGTGGACGTGCAGATGAAACTCCCTCATTCAGGCAGCTTCTTGCCCCATTGACACCATCCAGCTGCAAGGGGGATGTACAGGTTGATCCCCTTTGCAAGCGCAGTTATGGGGCGCAGGCAGAGATTAGAAGCAAAACACCAAAATGTTGTGGGGAAGCAAGGCAAGAGCCTGCCTTCAGCATTTGCAAGGAGCCTCCAGGCCTGGGCACTCCTGGCCAGGCAGCGAGCGAGGACTGGGAGCGCAGGGTTAAGCTTCCAGCCTTCTTCCTTCCCATCCCACAAGCAGAGGACCCCAGCGACCTGGGGTGTACCCAGAGATGGCGCGGGGGATGCTCATGGCAGTGGGCTGCTGGATGGTTGGGTAGGGCTGGACTTTGATCTTCAGAGCAAAACAGTTTTTCCCAGATCATCTGCTATTATCACAACTGATGTTGTTACAACTGGAAAAGAAAATGAGAAACAGTGAGGCCGGGCCTGAGGCTGCAAACCCCCAAAGGCAGCTGCTTTAACCAGGACCTGAAAGGGGATGGGGCAGGCAGGCATCCCTGAAATCCCACCACTTCCCTTCCTCTCCCAGACCAGACCCCGTCTCACTCTTACAGCTGCCTCCAGTTGTCCCCTTCTGATGACTCCCCCATGTCATGGGGTCCTGGATGTCCCACCCAATCCCTCTCCCCCTCATAGCCCCTGGGGGGGAGGCACCGGTGGGCAGGTCCCACCTCTGCCCCTAGCTCAGAGGATGCACCAGCTCTCAGAGCAGCTCCATGTCTACCTTGGTGTCTCCAGGGGTGTCTCCAGACTGCTTTACCCAGACATCACGGTTTGACAGGCTGTTTATTTTCCTGATGTCCTGCAAACAGAAGAGCCATAAGAAGGTTTTCCCCATGCATCATGGGCAGTGTTGCCTTGGTTTGACTTTAATCAAACCTTGAAGCATCCAGGTAAAACCAGCCGGCTTTGAGATCCTGCACCTGGTAGACACTCAAACCCTTTAGTGGGTTCAGCCAAGGGTTCATCAACCCTTCAAGCCCCACCACCCCAGATGCAGGGACAGGTACCGCCAGGCTGCCTGGTCTCAGGGTTCTAGCCCGAGGTGTCAGCACAAGCCAGTACCTTGCTCTTTTCCTCCTTGGCAGGCTCCTGAGTTCGGCTGATCCACAGATTAATGCGGGATGTCACTGATCCTGGGATCTTCAGGTTGTCCTGTGGGACAGAGGGGGACACCAGAGTTACAGCACCAGCTCTCCCACTGCACAGACGTAACCCAGGGCAGACCCCAGG